GCTTTCCCAAAAGTTGTTCTCATCCAGGAAACGTCAACTCAACTCATATGATTGTGGGAAAATTCTACTGTCAGTCTTACATCATCTTAAACTAAATAGGGTTAATACATCTCATATTACTGATTTACTGTTAGTCTCAAACAATATCTAAATGCGAAAAAATGACACACCTTTTGAGGAGTAGAATATAAACATTTCATATATTTTGATGTGGCGGTAGTGAGATAAAGATAGGTCTAAAGATTTTTGCAAAGATAAGATAATTATATTTTGAATTAAGTATTGTTTTTCGTGACTACCAGTTAATCAGAAATATGATATGTTTTCACCCAATTTCGTTTAAGGTGATGAAGGACGGGTAGTAGAATAATCCCACATTCATATGAGTAGAGCTGACGTTTACCTGGATGAGAACAACGTTTGTGAAAGCAAGGCTATGTGAAATTGAATGGAAACGTCAGCTCAACTCATATCATTGTGGGAAAATTCTTCTTCTACTAGTCCTTCATTGTGTGAATACATCTCATATAACGTAAGTTGTCATACTGGCAGGAAGATCTAGAGGAATGCAACTGATCCGTAGTCCATGTCATGCATGATCATTTCCAGAGTCGGATCGTCGACTTTGTACATTCACACACGTTTCGCCGGCATCGTAAATGAGCCTTGCCATTCTTACTAACATAAGTTGTCTTCTTCGTGGTGCTGGCAATGTCAAGGCTCACTGACGATGCCAGTGAAACGTCTGGGAAAGTACCAAGTTCTGGAAATTATCATGCATACCATGGACTCCGGACAAGATGCTCTCCTTTAGGCTTGCTGTCATTATGACCAAGTTGCGAAACCAAGGTTGAACAACTAATATATAACGAAAGAATACCGCGAGTTCACATTATCTTGGTCCTCATACCTTCGATTAATTCATAGCATGAGATCTGGATAATGCCATCTTTTCTGTAGGCAAATACACATTATTTAATGCAATTTCGTTGAAAACCATCAATAAATCAACCCTATAGCGATGAGTTCCTCGACCATCTGACGCCTGACGGGCGAACTTGTAGCAACCATGCTGGACTTTGGTTCCCAGGTTTGTTCACTGCTCCAGATGGCATTCGACTGTCGGGCACTGGGTCACCAAAGTAACCCAAAGGGGCTGTCGTTATGGCGTAGGCTTGCAGATAGTCGCAAATGGTACAAAAACCATTTATAGGCAAAACGGTTGAGTTCACTGGCAAATGCGATTCTGCTCTATCGGTTCTCTTTGCACTAGAAAGAGGAATTGTAGGAGGCCTGTATCGTTTTGGCGGCCGGCATGTGCTGGAATTTGGCTGTTTGGCTGTTTGGCGGGATGGCGACATGCCATCCTGTGACAGACAGGACCCTTTGAATGTGCTAATTAGACCAAGACTAGGTTGAAAACGTAGCAAAGCCGTTTCGAAATCGAGAGACATTGAAATGAAATGTTAACGCTTATCCTTTTCTTCTCATCTTGTCACTGATTCACTTCAAGCAATCCGTACATTCAAAGTGTTCTTTTGAAAAAGTGTATCTGAGCCATTGTATGCATGTACGTGTAGATGTATAGGCACGTTATTTACTTTGCGTCTCAGCAGATAAGGCAGAACTGATTATTGGGTTTGCCCAAAACGAAATGGGTAGATCTCACGAAGCCATTGAGCTTCACTTAAGCTGGACTCTTAAAAATCTTTCTCATCCGAACTGGGGAGCGATTTCAAAGTCGCGTACGCCTCATCAGCAGCTACAAGAGGATTCAAGGCCTAGTCGTGAGTAAAAAGTAGTGACAAGTTTCCATTCCACGACACAACCACGGGTTCCAATGAGCCACACAGAGCAGATTCGATCTTCACGAAAGGTCGAGCTAGCTCGATTCACACTTTTGGAGTGAGATTAGCGATGGAGCCAACTTGTGTTAGCCATTACAACGGAAGATGATGCTTTTTTATGTAGAGAATACGCTTCAAGACGTCCGTTGGATACTAAATTAGGCCTAATCGAGGTCGAAACTACCTTTTGGGAAGAAAGTCAACGCGATGTGTGGTGACAATTTTTCTCAAGAGTTATTAGTATTTTCGAACCTTACTTACACGGAATAAAAAGATCATGTATCAAGACCTACTAATAATCGTGCAATTGATTAATATACATATCTCAGTACCATCAGTATGAGCCCAGAAATTTAGCATCTTAGATTGAGATAGACTTTGGCAAGAAACCTACTGCATATCACACAAACTGTCCTAAGTTCAGATTTTCCCTGAATGAAGCCTAAACTACAACGTGTCTGATAACAAAAATGACTGTTGTAATAGGTAGAAATTAATCGCCAAAGTTAAGCCCTAGCTTAATTTTCTACTTGGCTGTCATCAAAGTAAAATAGCGTTTAAATGTGACTGATGAAGAAATTGGTCGCTCGATCAAACAATGGTTGAAAATACTGATCCCCGTTGGTTTCAGCCATACTTCAAGTCGATAAGGCCAAGTCGTTTTTGCAAAGAAAAGTTAGGTTTCGAGGAATCTCTTGTTTCATATTGGTTGAGCTTACTTCCATTTCGAGTAAAAGTGTTGGGTGAAGAGTTTCGAAGGTCGGTTCCACCAAAAGGCGACGGCGGATTCCTCTTGACCAGCTGTCGATTGGCTTTGCTGGACGATTTATGCTGGCGCTGTTTCCGAGGCAATATTCTTTGATTCCGGTAGAAAGGTGCTAAGTTTTCGTCCGTCATATGACGAACATCATCAAAGCATGG